AATTGATGCTCTACTGGAGGTGTTCACTCACCCATACCAAGAAATCTGGAAGACTGCAACCTGTCCGACGGATTGAAAGAGATTCGTAGTATGCCCATTCCAAAGAAAGATGACCCAGTGGGATATGGAAATCATCAGAAAAATATTATTAATATCACATGAAAGTAACATTGTGCTAAAGATAATTCAAAAACAGCTGCAGCAGTACATTGACAGGGAACTGCCAAAAGTTCAAGCTGGATTCAAAAAAGGATGTGGAATGAGGGATATCATTGCTGATGTCAGACAGACCTTGGCTGAAAGCAGAGAATACCAGAAAAATGTTTGCCTGTGCTTTATTGACTATGTAAAAGTTTTCAACTGTGTGGTTCATGAGAAGCTATAGACAATAGAGTAGGTAATGAGTATTCTGGAACATTTCATTGTGCTCATGAGGAACCTGTACATAGACCAAGATGCAGCTGTTATAACAGAACAAGGGGGCATTGAATGATTTACAACCAGGAAAGGTGTTTATCAGGGTTGTAGTCTCTTACCATACTTATTCATTCTGTATGCTGAGCAATTAATATGAGACGCTAGATTATATGAAGAAGAATGTGGCATCAGGATTGGAGGAAGACTCATTAGTAACTGGGATATGCAGCTGATACAACCTTGCTTGATGAAAGCAAAAAGGACTTAAAATACTTAATGATGACGCTCAAAGACCACAGCCTTCAGTATGGGTTGCACCTCAATATAAAGAAAACAAAAATCCTCACCACTGGGACCAATAAATAACATTATGATAAATGCAGAAAAGATTGAAGTTGTCAAAGACTTCATTTTGCTTGTATCCACTATAAACACTCATGAAAGCAGCAGTCAAGAAATCAAATGGTGTATTGCATTAGGCAAATTTGGTGTATAAGACTTCTTTAAAGTGTTCAAGAGCAAAGAAGTCTATTTGAGGGTTAAGGTGTGCCTGACCCAAGCCATGATATTTTCAACAACCTCATATGCATGTGAAAGTTGGAAAATGAAATAAGAGGATTGTAGAAGAATTGATGCATTTGAGTTACGGCATTAGAAAAGAATATTAAAATTACCATGGATTGCCAGAAGAACGAATTAAACTGTGTTGATGGAAGTGCAGCTAGAATGCTCCTTAGAAGCCAGGATGGCGAAATTTTGTGTCTCATACCTTAGACATATTATCAGGAAAGACCAGTCCCCAGAGAAGCACATCATGCTTGTTAAAATGGAGAGTCAGTGAAAAATAGGAAGACTCCCAATGAGATGGATTGGCATAGTGGCAGCAGCAATGGGTTCAAGCATTATAACAATTGTGAGGTTGACACAGGACCTGGCAGTATTTTGTTAGGTTGTGCATAAAGCCGTTATGAGTCAGAACCAACTCCATGGCACCTAACAACAACAACGACCACCCACAGCCAGCCAATCATCAAGTCCTGCTAATTTAGCTTCTAAATATTACATACCTCAGTACGCTCACACAAGTCACCCATCACCTTGCTTCAGACTGTCATTGACACTTCCTACCTTGATGACTGCATTACCCTATCCTTATTCTTCCTACCTTTCCTACGCATAGAATTCTGATCTTGCAGTTACCTTGCCCCAAACTCTTCAATGACTCCCAAATGCCTTCCTCGTTCCCTCCAATATATTTAATAAGTGCTTACTATGTGACAGACACTGCCATGGAAACTTCAAATGAATCCAAGCTCCTTTTTGAGACCAGCATGGGGCTTCCCAGTGTGGTCCCTGCATCTGCCCATCTCTGCTAGTCACACCCCAATTCTTCAGTCTGTTGATGGGATCTGCTCTGTGCTTCGCGAACTCATTATCCTGTCTCTGACCTCTGTGTTTTCTCTGGAATTTCCCTACCTCAGCCCAATCTACCTTTGTTGTTGTTGTTAGGTGCCATCAAGTTGGTACCAACTCATAGCAACCTTACGCCCAGCAGAACGAAACACTGCCCGATCCTGGGCCAACCTCACTACTGTTGCCATGCTTGAATTCATTAATGCTGCCACTTGGCCAATCCATCTCGCTGGGGGTCTTCTCTGACCCTCCACCTCACCAAACATGATGTCCTTCTCCAGTGACTGGTCCCTTCTGAAAATATGTTCCAAGTATGAGAGACGAAGTTGGCCATCTTGGCCTCCAAGGAGCACTCTGGCTTCACTTCTTCCAACACAGATCTGTTGGTTCTTTTGGCAGCCCATGGCACTTTCAATATTCTCCTCCAACACCGTAACTCAAAAGCATCAATTCTTCTACGCTCTTCCTTATTCACTGTCCAGCTTTTGCATGCATATGAGGTTATTGAAAATACCATGGCTTGGGTCAGGCGCACCTTAGTCCTTATGACTATCTTATGAATAGCAGAGAAACACTCTACCTTGGTGCACCTTTAAAACTCTAGGAGCCACTTCTCTGGAAGCCTTCCTTAACCCCTCTACACCTCCACAGCCTCACTACTTGAGTGCCCCTGCTCTAAACTTTCATAAAGCTCTATGTATAATTATACAATTGCACTTCCCATACTTATCATTATTTTCCATTCTGAGTCAATGTCTTCAAATAAAACCTTAGACTTATTGAAGACTAGGTCTTATTCATCTTGGTAATCACCAAGCCTAACCTGTACCTGACAGCCAGTAAGCATGCAATGAATGCCTGTTAAGTGAATAATAAATAAGTAAAGATGTCTGATAGTAGAAACAGAATTTCCTACTTTCAAAGCATTGTGGACTGAAACAAACATTAGGGATACTGACAAGCACAGTTTATGAAAATCACATTTCTTCTCTTCAATATGGCTCCTGAGATGGTGAGCATTATCTGTAATAGCTACAGCCTCCTCTCACCAGGAATTCCCATGATGGTCGTCTATACTACCCAACTTTCTTCCTTGATTGGTGCTTTCTAAGACTGTCAGTCTTAACCCAACCCTGAAGGAGTAGCTTTTAGCAACCAAGCATGTGAGCTGTGACTTAAACCCCAGCACATTCTTTCTGAATCAGGTGTGTAAGTGAGGAGACAAAAAACAGCAATGTAATAAACTCAGCATCACAAATCCTTAACAAGAAAAGTTACAAATTGTATTAGTTTGAAGAGAAATGGTCCAAAGAATGGCTATATGTGGAGAGAAACAAAAGATAAGAAATATCTACAATGAACTATGTTATTATGGTACTTTGTACAATTTTCTGGCTCTTCTTGATCTTAGGTTTCAATAGAAGTCACTAGGAAAGCCAGAATAAGTGCCAAAAATATACTAATAGCCACAATAAGGGTATCTCGGGGGGAAAATCTTTAATTAATTTGGAAAATATGGATGTTATACAGAAGAGATGGTTTGAGAGGGCTTTAAAGGGCATGTTGCATTAAGACAAGCAGAAATAGTGGACAGAGAGAGGGAGGACAACTGAGCACAGAGCATGTCATACACCAGGACTGTATAACGATAAGCAGAAAGGATCTTCTGAGCCTGCTGATATAAGAAGCCTCCTTTGTTAAGAAGATACTTTGATATGCATCACAGAGGAAAATATATGAGCTTTCTGGACCTGGTGCTGAGCAGAACTATTTTGCATTAGGCAAGAAGAAGGATTTACTTGTTGTTCTATAGATAGGAAGAGAAGAAAGTAACAAAAGAGAAATAAGCACAGAAAAATGAGGTGATTTCTCAAATAAATGAAAAACAACTGAAGAGAATCGTTGGTATCCAAGCCTATAGAACAAGATATAAAAACACTTCTTTGTTGTTCTGAATAACTGCAGCCATATCTAATAGTTGTTAGGTTTCTTATCAAGTTAGTCTGTTTCGTATTGTTTTGCTTTTAATTGACTAAAACCTTATCTTATTATTGTCAGCATCATCAACAGTCACCCTTTAGCCTCCAAATGTAATGCTGCTGAAAACTGTTAGTACTCCCCATTTACCTGGCTTGATGCATATATGGCCCGATGGAAAAAATAATCCGTTGTCCATACTGTTAACTGATGGCCAAATATACTTAGAACAATAGTCCTAACAACTGGAAAATCAGCAAGTGGCTGTGTAAGAGGCTACTTATTCATAGCTGAGGATCTGTTTGGAAGGAGTCTTATCAAAGCCAAATCCCTGTCTAGATAAAATATGGTGCCTCTGAGGTTACGTCTCACTGACTGAGTGCTGCATTAATGCAATAAAAGCTTAGAATACTTGGTTTTCCTTGCCATAAATATCCACTTTAACAAATTGGATGCTAGAAGGAAACTGAGTCCTAGAAAGTGAAAATATCTATAACCCAGAATGGAGCAAAGTAGCAATTGTGCAAGTCCCGTGCAGGCTCAGGCTCAGTGACCCTAGGACAGCCCATTGGCTGTGGGACCTCAGGCCACTCTAGAGGCTCTGCATCAAAAAAAGCTGGCTTGGCTGTCTGTGAAAGAAGGGCCAAGATCAAGTCCCTGCCGGAGGTCTCTGTTCTCTACTTCCTTTGCATTTTGCTTAAACAATCACCCACAAATACCAGTGGACTTATGGAGGCTCAATGGGACATCCTGAAAGAGTAAAACCTATTTGCTTTCTTACCACAAAAATAGCCACATTCAAAATGAGACTAGTGGCCCTGGGAGTAAGTCTTTGGGATTCCACTCACAAGCTGGCCTGCCTTCCCAAGCATGGCCATGTTTACTGACTTCTGTGAGTGCCCAAAGCTCACATCCTCTGTCAGACACACAGACCTTTCTTACACATATGCCATTGTGTAAGAACTGTCTGCATCCTGTAACAAAAACTGTTAGCCCATCTGAAATCTGGGAGAAGTAGCAAAGTGATAGTAGGTCAGGAGACGTAGCAATGAGTGTATCTACTCCATGGCAGAAGGACAAGAAAAATCTGTTATTCGTGCATAATTTGCTCTAAGGATGGGGCTACTGAGAAAACACTGAGAGAGTCTTTGATGGAAGAGGAAGCCAAACAGAGTACAACACAGGTTCCTTACCTCCTCTCCCACCTCGACGTCTCGCACTGCACGCAGTAAGAGGTGGGGTCCATTGAACACGATTGAACAGTTGGGGTCACAGCTATGGTTGAGCAAAGACATACTGAGGGGAAAAAGAAAAATACATTAGAGCTCAGCAAACAGAGGTGAAACAGGTACCTTCAATGAATACTATGGGCCTGTGGTGCAGTGGTTAAAGCACTCAGTTGCTAACCCAAAGGTCAGCAGTTTGAACCTACCAGTCACCCTGTGGGAAAATTATGTGGCAGTCTGCTTCCTTGGAAACCCTATGGGGCAGTTCTGTTCCATCCTGTTGCTTCACTATAAGTTGGAATTAACTTGACAGGCAACAGGGTATGGGCAAAAGAAACTTTAGTTTATGGGAGAAAGAAGCCTCAGTGAGTGCTCTAGGACATTCACAGACACTTCATATGAACTGAAATGCTCTCCACGATGGAGGCTAATTAGGAACATTTGTTAATAAATATTTTCTGAGTCCTTTTCAAGGGTAGAGGCGGGGAGGCCGTTGTCTCATTAAAAACCACCCTCATACGGAACCCACCATGAAGATGGGGAAATAAACTGACATGCAAAGAAGTAATCTCTGAGTAGTGGAATATAGCAGTAATCACTGCAGCCAAGAGACCACTGCCCTTCCCCACACAGGGTCTCACTTGTTAAGTGCCTTTGGAGGAACTTACACCTGCTGTGGATATTCAAGATCCACAGCTACAATGGAAGATGATTAGGACTGCCTCCTTCAAATAGAATGCTGAGGCTATCTCATTAACTTTTTTTTTTCTTTAAAATTTTTTTTAATGTTTTATTGTTAATTATGTAATAGTTTACATAGGAAAACATTAGTTTTACATTCATATCATTTCATTGCCATGGTTACAATCCCCTCCATGCATCATCACCTGGTCGTCAGCACACAGCCCCTCTCCCTCTCTGGATCTAAAGTCTTCAGCTGCTCCATCTCTCCATGTCATCATCTCTGCCATTATCTTGTTAACTTTTGTCTAATCATTCTATTACATTGGAGGTACATCTGAGAAATGGGCCAAATTTAGGTTGCTAATGATTATGTGCCATGGAGTCGGTTCCAACTCATAGCGACCCTGTACAGGGTTTCCAAGGCTGAAAATCTTTATGGGAGCAGAAAGCCTCATCTTCCTCCCATGGAACAGCTGGTAGTTTTGAACTGCTGACCTTAAGGTTCATAGCCTGATTTATAATCACTACTGAAGGCGCTACCAGAGCTCCTTAAGTTGCTAATAAAGTATAATTATTATAAGTGAGCTTTTTGTTAACACTCAAGTATGTATTATCAAACATACTCATTATCACTACAATCTTATGGGGCTCATTTACAGATAATGAATCTGATAGAAATTAAATGACTTGTCCATGGACACACAACTAGTAAGTGGGGGACTAAGTTTGAACCAGGTGTCTGAACTTAGGTTTATCTCTGAATCACTAAGCTACTGCTTGTGGAGAACCACTACAAATAGCTTAGGAACCCTGATAGTGTAGTGGGTTAACAGTTGGGCTACTAGCCACAAGGTCAGCAGTTTGAATCAATTATCTGTTATCATAAAAATTTACAGCCTCAGAAGCTCTCAACCCCATGGCACACAACTACCACCACCACAAATAGCCTATGGTACTTGTGAGAAATAGAAGCCAAATTCTTAGATTCACAATTAATTATAAGAAAGAGTATGTTTCTATTTCAAGTCTTTATAAAAAAGAAAAAAAATGCTGTCTAGTTGAGTGTAACGGCTTCATAGGGTTTCCAGTGCTATGGTCTTCAGAAGTAGACTGCCACATCTTTCTTCCGCTGACCAGCTGGTGGGCCGGAGCCACTGACCCTTCAGTTAGCAGTGAACACTTACTCCTTTATTTTGACCCTAATAGCATAGAAACAAAATGAAAGCAGGAGAGACTCCAGTGCTTGTGATTGGGCAGTCTGGTAGCCCAGTCATGAAAGTTCACCTCAGGACAGCTAGACACAGCACTTCAGAGGGTCAGATCCTCAAAAGTTTTCCTGCCTCCCAGAGCAGAGGAGCTCAGAGCATGTGAACTCAATAGATGAAATGAACCCAATTGGGACAGTCCAGCAAGTCTGTGGAAATAATCCTGGTGTGGTGCTGTGGGTTAATGAGCAGGACTGCTAAATCGTTTGAACCACAAAGTTGGAGGTTTAGCTGCCCCTCAGAAACCCTATACAGGGTCGCTATGGGTCGGAATTGACTCAACGGCACTTACCAACAACAACAGCAGCTATCAGCCCTGAAGGTTAGGGATCAGGACAGGGGTGGAGGCGACCAAATCTTAGCCTGATGGTTTATTAGCACCCACAATCCTTGACTTTTGCACTCCAAAGTGTCCATAAGAACTAGAATTTAGTTCTGAGGTCTGTTTCTTTGTTACTGTTGTTGTTGTTGTTGTTAAGTGGCGTGGAGTCAATTCCGACTCATAGCGACCCTGCACAGGGTTTCCGAGGCTGTAAATCTTTACGGGAGCAGAACGCCTCATCTTTCTCCCGCGGATCCGCTGGTAGTTTCGAACTGCTGACCTTACAGTTCACAGCCCGATTTGTAACCACTACGCTACTACCACACCCCATAATGTGGGGTTATAAAACTGTTTTCTTTAAACTTAATATTTTCTACTTTCTTATCATTTATCATTAAGCTTCAAGCTTGGATCTTTTAACCAGCTGCTGCAATAGCCTTTCTAACTACCTACAAATGGCTGGGGAGCTCATTTGGAATTAGAGATATTTCTTCCAGCAAATGAAATACCATTCACCATACCTAGGAATCTTGGTGTGGCACTGTAGAATAAGTACTGGACTTATTCTTGCAAGGTCAGCAGTTCAAATCTACTAAGCACTCTTTGGAAACCCTATACAGGGTTACTGTGAGTCAGAATAGACTTCTTGTTGTTTTCAGGTGCTATCGAGTAGGTTCTGACTCATAGTGGCCCTACGTACATCAGAATGAAAAACTGCCCGGTCCTGGGTCAGCCTCACAATCGTTGCTACACCTGAGCAAAACAGACTAGTTAGCACTTAAAAATCACATACCTAGGATATAGCCCAACACCAACGGCCTGCATCTCTGCATTACAGATGGTGAAAGAGTTGCAGATCACCTGTGAAAACAAGGGAGAGATGATCAGGATGACCAGAGTCACTTAAGAAATTTCCTAGGCAAGAGAACAAAAAATGTTCAAAACAAAATGTAGGAGCAACCTTTTAGTAGTTTCTGTGGAATGATGTAAATGAAACTAGGATGTTTCAAATCAACTATTTATTGAGAACTAGACACCTACCATATCAGGCTTTTCACTCAAACTGCCTACAGTTTTCCAATGTTGCTGTGTATCTAAGGAGTACTATAAAGAGTGAAGTCAACCAGAGTGGACACAAGTCAAACTCTGTGTTTACTAGATACATGGGACTGTATTCACTGAGCTTAAGGAACTGGAAACCTCATTTGTGTGATCAGGTAAATGTGTGAGCCTGGAGCTGGAATCAGGAACCCCTGGTACTGATCACATATTGTTGCCTCAGACAGATGTTGGGGAGACAGCAGTGTACACAAAGATGAGCTCCCTGCCTTCATCGAGCTTTTGTCTAGTGAGAGAGACGGATGCAAAACTGGTAGATAAACTGTCAGATGAACATAAATAAGGAGAAAGATAAAGGAAAGGAAAGGAACAGGGGAAAAGTGTCTAGGGAAAAACAGTGTTCAGGAAGGTCCTCTAAGATAAGGGTGACATTTAAGGGAAGCCCTGAGGGAAATGAACATGTGCATATCTTGGCAATGAGAGATGTGTCAGGAAAAAGAGCAAGTCCAAAGGCCCTGAGGTAGGAATGCACTTGAATAAAATAAGAGAAAGGAGGCTTGTGTGACCACAGCAAATTATGTGAAAAAAAGGAGGGTGGAATATGAGATCAGAGAGGTAGCTAGGTTATTTAGAGTCACGTAGCCAAATTAAGGAGTCCTGATGTGGTGCTGTGGGTTAATGTGCTGGACTGCAAAGCTGGTTTGAACCTCAAAGTTGGCTGTTCAAGCTCATCAGCCACTCCTCAAAAACCCTATACAGGGTCTCTATGGTTCGGAACTGACTCGATGGCACTTAACAATAAGCCATATTAAGGAGTCCTGGTGTGGTGCTATAGAATAAGCACTGTACCACAAGGTCAGTTTTAACAATGTTGGAGGTTCAAGCTCACCAGCCACTCCTTGGAGATCCTATACAGGCTTGATGTGACTCAGAACTGACTGGACAGCACTTAACAATAACCACCATATTAAGGATTTTGGATTTTATCCTGATAGAGTCAGAAAGTCATTGGAAGGTTTGGAGTCAAGAAGCGAGTGGATCTTTGGGTGCTGTGGAAAGAATGGGCCAAAAAAGGACCAGGAGGAAGAACAGAAACCAATGAGAAGGCCACAGCAATAGCACAAATGAGAGACGGTGGTGTCTAGAGTGCTGGTAGCAGAAGTAGGGAAAAGAGGTTGGTACTGCCAATGGGATTTACTGATGGAGAATGAACAGAGTCAAGAAGAATGCTAGGTTTTTGATTTGAGCAAATAGGAGATTATAGCTGACATTTATTAAGATAAATGTGACTGTGAAAGTAGTAGTTTTAGTTGCAGAGTTTGAAAGTTCAATAGTTCTGTATTAGCTAAGTTTGAAGTGGCTTATTATACATCATAGCCAAGATGTGGGCAATTGGGGTTCAGGGAAGCAGTTATGGATAAAGATACAAATTTTGAACAAAACATGGCAAAACTCATTTAAAAGAAAGCAGAAGAGGCCACTACAGGCTTGAGATGAACTAGTGATTACACATGGATGCTGATCTTCCTAATGGGTCTCTGTAAAGGAAAACAGTGACAACAAACTTCTTCAGATCCTTTTATACGAAAGAACATAAAGTATAAAAACACATTCAGTCCTCTGAGACTCTTCCATTGCTCCAAAAAGCTTTTATAGGAAATCAAGTGCAACTTATCATGATTTGGCATTTTTCCTCTAAAAGTCTGATAAAACAGCAATTTCAAATCAGGAAATAAATTGAGGTACATATACATATTTTAAACACAACATAGTTAAATGGCTAAGTGAGCATCTGTTTTGCATTAAGCTGCAACAATATACTGCCTATACATATTTGAGTATATAAAGCACATGGTAAAAATACAGGAATAAAGATTCTGTATTTAAAAAAATTTTTTTTTTAACTTTCAGCTTTTTGAATGGGTATGAACTTTTTTGGGGAGTAGATATGAGTTTTAACATATACTAAAGTACATCCAGGACTTTACCTAATCAACCAACAACAACAACAACAACAAAAAAAAAAAACAGTCTGAACAGAACAAATTTGCAAACTTTTCAATCAAACAAAAATTACATATTATCTTTTGTCTGAGCAACAGATCAAATAAAAGGTTTTTTCAAAAATAGATTTCTTCTGGTGGAATTTAAAAAGGAAAAGTTAAAAAGAGACATGTCAATATCTCTCTCTTCCTCCAGAAAGCAATTCCTGGTCCCTAGATATTGTTGAATGTTCTATCTTACCCTATACATCCAATCTGTACATGATCCTGTTGATTCTCTGCTTATTAACCAGGCACTCATACAAGTTTTCTTGTGGCACAGCGGGTTAATTATTGTACTGCTAACTACAAAGTTGGCAGATCAAACTCACTGCCCACTCCATGGGAGAAAGATGAGGCAGCCTGCTCATATGAGGAGTCACAGTCTTGGAACCCTATGGAGCAGTTCTACCCTGTCTCAAAGGCTCACCATGAGTCATAATTGACTTGGTGGCAGTAGGACTTGGTTGTTTTTTTTGTTTGTTTGTTTGTTTTACATTTATTGGAGCTCTGGTAGCGTAGTGGTTACGAATCGGGCTGTGAACCTCAAGGTCAGCAGTTCGAAACTACCAGCGGTTCCGCGGAGAAAGATGAGGCGTTCTGCTCCCGTAAAGATTTATAGCCTCGGAAACCCTGCACAGGGTTTCCAAGAAGCAGCTGGGGAGCTTGAACCGCCAACCTTGTGGTTCAAACCCACAGTGCCACAGCAGAGCTCCTTTTATTCACTGGACACACATATATTTGCTGAATGACATATCCATTGTTGGTGGAAACACAGAATGGTATAACCACTACAGAAACAGTTTGGCAGTTCCTCCTAAGTATATACACAAAAGAACTGAAAGCAGGAATACAAACTATTAACTTAAACACCAGTATTCATTGATGTACTTTTTCCAGTAGCCAAAAGATGGAAACAACCTAAATGTCCAAATATGGAGAAATAAGAAATGGTACATCTCATTGAATGGAATATTACTCAGTCAGAGAGAGAAACTAAAGTTCTGATACTTGCCAAAACACGGCACCTTGAGAATATTATGCTTAAGTGAAATAACTTCATTCCAAAAGGACAAATACTGTATGTGAAGCAGGTAAATGTACTGTTTCTGTTAGATGCTGTGGAGTTGGTTCTGATTCACAGTGACCCTATGTAAAACAGAATGAAAATGTATAGGTACCTGGGGTAAGAGAGTGGTAGAAAGACGGAGTCATTGCTAAGCAAGCACTGCATTTCTGTTAATGGTGGCTAATAATTTGGAAGAGGGTAGTGTTGCTAGTTGTACAACATGAACATAACCAATGCCAATGAATTACACATGTACAAATGTTGAATTAGCAAATGTTTGATTAAATATATTTTTACCATAGTAAAATAATGTTAAAAAAAAAAAAAGCATTTATCTTCTTCCCTTTTAATTCTTTACTTTCCTCTTTTCTCCTCCTTTTCCTGTTTTCACTATCAACAATCTTGAACCCTCAACTCCCACTGATCCACTCCACCACAATAAGGATGTTAAAATTTAACCTAAGAAATTCTAGAGTTCCCTCATTTATATTATTCTGAAAGAAGCAAATAGCTAATAAGTTAAATTTAGCTTTGTGCCTGCTCAAACTTTTAAAAAATTGGTTCTATTCAGTATTACCTGGATTAAAAAACACCGAAAATATGTTTGACGTTTATAACTGATAATCAATGGTAAGTAAGAGATAGCTCTCTGGTTTTGTTTTTTAAATAAAATAATAAGGAAACAATATATTCATGTGTGTGCAAATGAGAATTTGAAAGGACATTATCTTTACAGAAAGAAAAGAATGAAAATAAATCCCAGAAGTAAAATCTAAACATTTTTCAAAGTATTTTATTTACTTAGAAAGCAGTACAAGAAAAACAAAGAATGAATGAATGCTCTTACACCAGAGTGATACATATTTACAAAAGCTTATTAATAAATTGGAGCCCTGGTGTGGTGCTGTAGGATGAGCACTATATGAATGAATGGCAAGGTCAGTGCTTCAAACACACCAGGCACTCCTTGGAAATATTATACACAACTGACTCGAGAGCAGTTAACAACAGCAACATTAATACATTATTTCAATAAGTAGAGAAATTTCATTTAATTTTTTCTGAAATTTAAGCATGAGTATTACATTAAAAATATTTCCCATGGTATAAAACTCTACCATATATTTTAATCATTTTATAGTTATTAACCAAGGAGTCTGGTAGCGTAGTTGTTATGAGTCAGGCTGCCAACCACAAGGTCAGCAGTTTGAAACTACCAGCAGTTTCATGGAAGAAAGATGAGGTGTTCTGCTCCTGTAAAGATTTATACCCTCAGAAACCCTGTACAGGGCCACTGTGAGTCAGAACCGACTCCACGGTACTTAACAACAACATAGTTGTTAACCATATGTTGTGGTTGTTGTTCAGTGCTGTTGAGTCAGTTCCAAGTCATAGAGACCCTACATAGGGTTTCCAAGGAGCAGCTGATGAATTTGAATGGCCAACCTTGTGGTTGAAACTGACCTTATGGCCCAGTGCATTATCCCACAGCGCCACACCTATATTATAGAACTATGAAATATCCACAGTTCATTAATTTCTTCTTTTAAGGTAACTAAAGGCATTTGTAATATATTTTAGCCTGTCTAGATGAAAAATCAAATCTGTTCTTCAAATGATCTCTAAATTCAGGTGGGATATATTCAAGGTCATATTTTGGCTCTCGTGGACTTGTTTTCATTTTCTTCAGC